ACATACTCCATCAGCGCTCCGCCCCGCTGCGCTGCGCTCCAGACCGGCTGCTCAAAGCAAAGCCTACAGCCTCCACTGCGTGTCCCTTGGAGATCGTAGAGAGCATGCGGAGATGAGTAAGTCAAAGCAGCAAAACATGCGGAAATGATCCAGGGTTTCCACGGATCATTAAAAATAATAACAATTCATTATTTTTTGGGGGATTTTTTCATTAATTTCATAAAAAAAAAAAATTCATAAATTTTTGTTAATTTTTATTATTTTATTTTTTTTTCGGTGTTACAATAAACATACACCGAACCGGCAACAATAGAAAGATTTAGAGGTTAAGAAAAAATGGAAAGCACAAAAAATATAAAAGCTTGTGCAGAGAAAATATTTTTTTAAATCTGAAACCTCCAGCAGAACCAGGCTCAGTGTGAGCGGCCATCTGCTGAGGCCCACTGGGGTTCAAGGAGACAGAAGCAGACATAAGCCCCATTGAAACCATGCTCAGATCGGTCTGAGCGCGGTTTCAATGGGGCTTATGTCTGCTTCTGTCTCCTTGATCGGTCTGAGCGCAGTAGCTGAGACAAGTGAGTGTAAATGGCACGCACAGGTGAACTGGACCGTGCCAGACACAACCAATAGCGCTAACATGGTACTAGTTCATCAGTAGGACTCAACGTGGTTCAGTTCTGGCTCAGTTCTCAGATAACATTTACCCCATTTCCACTAGCCTTGAAAAACCGATCCATGCCGAGACCTGTCCGAGCTCGGATCAGTTAACCAGGCCGAGCTCGGTTCTGACGACCGTTTACACATCACGCTATCTCGGTTCCTCGCCTCCTAGTGACGATCTGCGGTATTACTGCCAGTGTTGAAGGAGGAAATCAGGCAGTTGGTGGCGGTAATGCACTGAAAGTTGTTCGCTAACCGCCATAAAACATAAGAAGAAGAAAACAAAAAAGGAGAGAATCAAGCAAATCAAAATGGCGGCGCCCGTCACTTTCAGAAAGTTATGCTTGATTTTTTTTGCTGTACTTCAGTGTTTGCAGAGGGTCAGGCGAAGACAGCAAAGTTTCCTGAATTTACTTGAGAAAGTCGGCTTAACTTAGTTGTTCTTTTTCTGTTTTGTGTTGGTTGGAAAGCAACTTCCGGAGGGGCATTACCGCCACCTACTGGAATGGAGTGTGAATTGCGATGTGCAGCCAGACGAAGATGATGCGTTCTGCTCATGCGCTCTTGTTATCAGAGAACCGAGCCAGGGAAAAACCGAGCCGAGCCCGCCTCTGGAACTGGTCTGCAGTTAGCTCGGTTCGGTTCAGTTTGCTTTCCATTTACACACCATAAGTTTTTTCAGTTACTGAGCTCGGACCGGTCTCAGCACGGTTTTTCAAGGGTAGTGTAAGTGGGGTAAAAGAGCGCATGAGCAGACCGCCTCATCTCCTTACAGGCAGCCTCCGTAATCAGGAAATTTCAGACTTTCATAAAAATCCTAGCTTTCTTACCGTGCCGCACGATTTCCAGTGATGATTCTGCTTAGCAGTGTGATGAACCTCAACCTCTGTCATTGTTTCCTGCATCTTTAAGCCCTGATTAGACTATCGTTTGTCGTATTACTTCCCAAAAGCTGAATCTGTCAAGGAAATTCACCAAAGGCTGCCTTCTTCGCTTGACTCTCCACAAACTTCCTGAAAGTTACGAGCGCCGCCATGTTGGTTTGCTTGTTTACCTCTAGAGAGCAGTAGTACCGTAGATCGCCACTAGGAGGCGAGGAACCTCGCTAGCGTGTGGTGTAAACGGTTATAAGTAACTGAGCTTGGCCAAATCGGTTTTGGAGGGTAGTGTAAATGGGGCTCTAGAGTCACATTAAAAAGCAGATCCTGCTGTTGTGTGGAAAGCGCTTCCTGTTGTTTCCTCTGGTTTAATGAAACAGAATCCAAAGGCGACACGTTAACCACAGTGTTACACTTTATCCTGCGTCTCCTTTTGGTCCACAGAGCTGCGGAGGCTCAGGAGGAGCTGCAGGAGTTCCAGCAGATGAGTCGGGACTACGAGGTGGAGCTGGAGACGGAGCTGAAGCAGTGCGAGGCCAGGAACCGCGAACTTCTCGCCACCAATAACCGTCTGCGGATGGAGCTGGAGAATTACAAGGTAGCTGCTGGAAGACGAGGCTCTAAAGCTGTCGGTGATCACAGATCAATGGGGGTTGAAGGGATTAAAACGTGTTTGAATTAATGCAAACATTTTCTAAAGACCTGCAGTTATACTGACCTTTAACCTGCAGGGCGGGATTTCACCATCTAACACAGAGGTAACCAATTAAAGATCAGAAGGGTTTGAGTAAAGAAAATCATCAACCAGTTAAGGTCTGGGGACGTTTTCAATTATAATCGGTTGCTTTAAACTGAATTTAACACTGAAATAAAACGTCCATACATTGACTTTTTATATTAAAGAAAATACTTAAAAAAATACATTTTTCCATTTTAAAATCTAATGTGTTTAAGTAGAGAACAACAATAGTTCAGTTTGGTTTATAGACATATTTTCTAAAACACCTGAACTGATCATTTGTTATTTTTCTTTCTTTTTTCCGTCTTAATGTTGGCAGTGGGCTTTAGGCTGCCCTGCAAGGCTTACAGGGTTCCCGCAGATCCTTAAAAAGTCTTAAAAGGCATTGAATTCTTCAATATAAAATCAAGGCCTTAATTGGTATTAAAATGTCCTAAATCAGTCTTTTATAGGTCTTAAAATTGTTACCACATCATAAATAGGTTTTTATTTTTTGTAATCGATATCAAACAATAAAATAATTGACAATATTTTTCTTACATTTACCGAACCGCTCGCTGTAACCATTATTGGTTCCGTCCCGATAGCGGAACCAATAAAAAAGATGCTGCGGCCGGACCTTGGGATGATGTGACTTTAACTTTTTATCTGGACAAAGCAGGGAAGTTGGCTATCCATCCAAGAGGAATATAGATTAAGCACGATGGGAGGCAGCGGAGACACATGTGCAAAGTGTGAAACTCAAAGAGTCCAAATCAAGTTATGGAGAAGCAGTATTTCTGCGTTCTGTTCCACCCCTGTCTCTGCAGCGCCTCCACAGCATCTCTCACATCAACAACGGCACCAGTAGAACCAAATCTCAGGAAAATGTTTGGTGGTACGCCACAAATGAAAGTAGGGGGATTGAGTTAGTCAATTTAGTTCAGTAGTTGTTAAAAATATAATTATTCCTTTGTTTTTAGCTTTCTTCCTATATGGAAAGTCTTAAAGTTTTGAAACATACCTACTGGGCCAAAAAATTAATGCTTTATGTTAAAATAAACATTTTGGGGTAAATCTGTCACTACCAAGATTTTCTTGTGTTTATTGTAAAGTTGGTCTTAAATTTTTATTTTTAGTGGCATTAAAAGGTCTTTAAAAGTCTTGAGTTTAACTTGCCTTATGCTGATGAGATAACCTGACTCCGCCAGATGGATATGCGGAGCAAATCCATCTGGAAACCTTCCGTTGAAGTAATTTTGGGAAGGGGCGAAAATACTGGTTAGCTGATTGGCCTATGTTGGTGATAGACGGGCCAAATA